GACTAGCATGAGTTATTTTTTAATTATCTTCAACACATCTTTCTCTACATTTGTCTTTCTGTAAAAGGCAACAACATCCTCACAGATTCCTAAGGTTACAACCTCAGAGTCATCCTTCACTATCACCCTCCATATCCAATCATTTTCCAAGTTTGCCATTTTTTCTCTACAGTATCATTAGGAACCCCTTACCCCTACCAATGTTTTTTTAAACACTTTATTTTTTATTATAAACTTGATAAATATTTAAGTATGAACATTTCCTTACAGAAAGAACAGAAGGGATTGTATATGATACTGTGAATTGCTAGGCTTTTTTTTTAAGATTGTTTTTTAAGAGGCAGCTAGGTGGCGCAGTAGATAGAGCATGGGCCGGCAAGTCAGGAGCACCTGAGTTCAAATACGGCCTCAGACCAAACACTTGACACTAGCTGTGTGACCCTGGGCGAGTCCCATAACCCCAAATGACTTAAAAAAAAAAAGGTTGTTTTTTAAGCATATATGTATATATATACACACATATATACATATATACGCACATATACATATATACACATATACATATATACATACATACACACACATAAATCTCCTCCACACAGATCAGAAAATGCATCAGACTGAATCCTGATAGGGAAATCCAGAAAACATCACAGTGAGTTATATGTTCAGCCCAGCTTGGCAGAAGGAGACAGACATAGAGGTCTGCTGATACTGGGGCTGGGGTCAGGCCAGAAGCAGGCCTCATGCTGAGTACTCCAGCGCTTAGGAAGAGGCTGTGCACCAGGGCAAGAGCAGTTCCAGTTCCATGCCTGAACTCCACCAGGGCACTAAAATGGTAACAGGTACAAACTGGCAACTTTATATCCTACTATGGGTCACAAACCTAGCTTGCAGAAAGGGGTAGCATTCCCAGGTAGGGAATGAATGGGATACCAAGAAAGGAGGAAGTTCAGCTCAGAAGCAAATGGCAGCTGGCAGCAGCAGTGTGACTCAGATGTCAGGCTTAGAGCAGGATCTCATTTCCAGCATCTAGCCCAGCCTGCAGAGGAATAACCAGGCATGAATCCTAGGCCAAAGGGAAACCTATAATTCTGCCACTCTGAACCAACAGAGCTTTCCACCTAGCTGACAGGGGCTGAATCCATCAATAGTTTAGACTTGTTCAGACCCAGACCTAGGTCAGGAACTTGCAGAACTCAGACCAAGAGGATAGCAATCAGATCACTCTGGGAGCAATGAAAATCTGCAGCCTGTCCCTGAGATCCTGGAATAATATACAACATTCAATATTCCAAGAAAGCAACCACAACACCAGCTCAGACCTTCCCTCTAGAAGTGCCACAGAGTCTAGCCCTAACATCAGATCCAAAGTCAGGAGGTAGGCTGGAAGAATGAGCCAAAAAAAAAAAAAGAGCTATTAAGGTGGCAGAGAAGCTCAAAACACAAACCAAGAAGAAGAAAGGGCTCCCAAACATCTACAGGTGAAGCCTCAAAGAAAAACACTGCCTGGGCAAAAATTCAACTAGAATTCATGCAAGAGATGAAGCAAGAGTTTTTAAAAAGAGTTTAAAAAGTTTTTATAAATTAAATGAGATTGCCTAGAGAAAAAAATGGGGGGGAAATGAGAGCTAGGGAAGAAAGAACTGGAAAGGGTATTAACAGCATGGCATATGAGGTATAAAACCCGACAAAAGCAACAAACTCCCTGAAAATTAGAATGGAACACATAGAAGTCAATGGCTATATGAGGCAACAAGAAATATTAAAAGAAAGTCAAAAGACCGAAAAAAAAATAGAAGAAACCTAAGATAACCTATAGCAACAAAACAAAACAAAACAGACCAGGAAAACAGATTAAGGAGAAAAAAAATTAAGGATCACTGCACTATTTGAACACCATGAACAAAAAAAAAGGAGTCTAGAAACCATATTTCAAGAAATCTTAAAACTGCTCGTACCTCTTAGAACTAAGGGTAAAATGGAAATAGAAAGAATCCACTAGTCACCACCTGAAAGAAACCCCACAGAGGAAAACTCCCATGAACATCATAACCAGAATGCAGAGTTTCTAGGTAAAAGAAAAAGTTGCAAGGAGCCAGAAAGAAAGAATCAAAGTGCTAAGAAGCCACATCTGGGATTACACAAAGTGTAGCAGTTGCCCTCTAAAGTAGCTGAGCAGTTGGAATACAATATTCCAGAAGGCAAAGGCTATGGGCTCACAGCCAAGAATAATTTACCCAGCAAAACGGAGCATTCTGCTACAGGAGAAAAAAATGAATTTTTAATGAGATAGAAGACTTCCAAACATTCCTGATAAGAAAGATCAGAGCTGTGTAGAAACTTTGTTCAAACATAGGAATGAAGAGAAACAAAAATGACAAAGGACGGAACCGCTTACAGTCACAATATGGGGAGATGATATCCCCTCTTGGTTCTCTTCCTGCCTAAATGACCTTTCCTTCCCAGTCTTCTTTGCTGGATCTTCATCCAGACCATCTAACCACAGGTGTCCTTCAGGGTTCTATCCAAGGCCCTCTTCTTGCCTCCCTCTATACTACTTCATTTGGTAATCTCATCAGCTCCCACAGATTTAATTACTATCTCAATGGTGATGATTCTCAAGTCTACCTTTCCTGTCCTAAACCTCTCTGCTCACCTCCAATCTCACATCCCCAACTGTCTTTCATATATCTCAAAATGGATGTCCAGTAGATATCTTAAACTAAACATATTAAAAACCAAATTCATTATCTGTCCCTCTAAATTCCCTCCCCATTCCATTCCTATCATGGGAGGGGGCAACACCATCTTCCCACTCCCTCAGACTCACAATCTAGGAGTCATCCTTGACTCCTCACTATCTCTCACACCCAACCCACTCCCTATATCCAAGCTATTATCAAGGCCTGTTGATTTCACCTTTGCAACATCTTTCTCATATGCCTCCTTCTCTCCTCTGACCACCACTCTGGTGCTGGCCCTCATCACCTCACACCTGGACTATTGCAATAACTTGCTGATGGGCCTGCCTGCCTCAACTCTCTTTCTACTCCAATCTGTCCTCCATTTAGCCACCAAAATGCTTTTCATAAAGTACGTCTGACCATTTCACTCCCTACTCAATCAACTCCAGTAGGCTTCTTATTGCCTCCAGAATAAAATACAAAATCCTCTGTTCAGCATTCAAAGCCCTTCATAACCTAGCCCCCTCCTATCTTTCAGTCTTCTTATTCCTTGCTCCTACCACATACTCTTTGATCCAGTGACTCTGGCCCCCTGGCTATTCCAAAAAAAAAACAAGAAACTCCATCTCTCAGCTCTAGACTTTTTCTCTGGCTGTTCTCCACGGCTGGAACACTTTCTCTCCTCAACTCCACTTCTTTCCCTGGCTTCCTTTAAGTCCCAGCTAAAAGCTCATCATTTTCAGGAAACTTTTCCCAACCTATCTTAATTCTAGTGTCTCCCTCTCTTAAATATTTTCTATTTATCCTGTATATAGTTTGATATATATATATATATACACACACATGTACATTTGTATGTATGTGTATGTTTGCTTTTGTGTTCTCTCACCTAGAAGACTGTAAGTTCCTTGACAGCAGGGACGATCTTTTTGTAACCCCAGTGTTGAGCACAGTACTTGGTACATACTAAGTACTTAATAAATTTTTATTGCTTGACATTGATACATGTCCCTTTGGGGCCCTATCATTATTAGGAGTCATAGAGGGTCCAGTTAGAAAAGATCTGGAAGTGACTCTGTTATGTTGTAATGATCTTAAGAATAGAAAGAGAGGGAAAGAGGAATATATTTGTGTGTGTAGGGAAAGGATGGTTAGAGAAAATTATCTCACATAATCAGAGTGTATAAGTATACATATATAAAAACAAGGAGCGGAGGCAGGACGGAGAGTGGCTGACACTTGAACTTTCTCTAATTTGAACTGGTCAATAGAAGGAAGAATACACACACACACACATAAACACACATACAGGGTACAGAAATACATTTCACTCAACAGGGCAATAGGAGGGAAAGGGGAGAAGGGAGGAAGAGGAATTTGAGGGAGGGTATTTTAAGGGAGGGATTAGTCCTAAGCAAAACAAATTCTAAGGGTGCACAAAAATATTTATAGCCGGGGCAGCTAGATGGCACAGTGGATAGAGCACCGGCCCTGGATTCAGGAGGACCTGAGTTCAAATCTGGTCTCAGACACATATAACACATACTAGCTGTGTGACCCTGGGCAAGTCACTTAACCCCATTGCCTAGCCAAAAGACAAAAAAACAAAAACAAAAACAAAAAATATTTATAGCCCTTTGAGGTGGAAATAAGGGGAATCTGAAGAAGTGTCTATAAATTGAGGAATGGGTGTACAAGTTTATTGTATTGATCTCATATCAGGATGACGACCAACCATGATTCCAGAGGACCAATGATGAAACAGGCTTTTCACCTCATCATAGAAAGGTGAAAGATTCAGATTGCAGAATGAGACAAATATTTTTTGGACATGGCAAATGTGGAAATTTGCTGTAACCAACTTTATATGCTTGTAATAGGTTTTGTTTTTCTTATGTTCTCAGTTGGGGGAGGGGAAGGGCGGGACAGGGGAGAGTGAGAAAGCAAATTTTGGCTGATTAAAGCTAATAAAATATTTTTTAAACAAAAGGAAAAAAATAAAGCATGTGTAGCACCTTTTCTAGGTTACTTTCACAACTTCCACTTACATTGGTGGGCAACATTCCCAGAGGACAAAAGACTACTATTCCTTCAGGGTTCTCAGCATAAATCTGAGGGTCTAGGGCTTTCTAGTATGGTAGTTTATAAGGCCCCACTGGTGTGCTCCCCACTGATTATCAGCTAGAATTAAATAGCTTTTAGAAAAGGTATTTAATAGGTAAGGACAGTTGTGGCAGAAATATACTGCCCAAACTAGGAGCATACTCTCCCCCTGCATATACAAGGTTCCTAGGGAAAGTAGACTTGGCCAAACAGTAAACTCACAGCTTGTGGTTACTGGCAGTTCTTTTCTCCTCTCATTCAGCCTTCATGAAGTTCCCATTTAGGCAGGTTTCTCTGCTGGAGTCTGGGGGTCAGTGCCCTTGTAGAATCCTGAAGCTACCTTTACTTGGTGAGTCTAGTTAGTTTCAATACGTCTGTTAGCTCATGATGCAGCTACTACTTCTCCAAGGACTCAGTGACTGGCTCCGGTGGATATTTCTACAAACTCTATCATAGGTTCCCAAAATGGGTGACACCATCCCTTGGGAGGTGCTGGAATGATCCAGGGGGTCAGTAGCAGCCTCGGGTGAAATTGGGGGCTGTTGAATAAAAATAAGGGGATGATGGAAGCATAAGAAAAGAGAAAATAAGAAAAATTTAAATAACCATTCATACATATTTTATCTGTTGTATAACAAAATTAAAGTCATAGTGATTATACTGTTTTCCAAATAAACACACAAAATGTAAATTATAACCAATCAATGGTCGAGTCCACCAACAGGTCTTAACAAGCAAGTGTTGGCAGGTCAGCATGTTGTGAATTGTTGGGAAGTCTAGCATACATTGGCAGGAACATGTGCATGTAATAACTTGTTTACAATATGGTACTATACAGTTACATAACACAATATTGCATTATCAAAATTTCAATGTAGGACAAACCCCACAAATTTATAATAAATTATTAAATTTAAGATGCATCATTTAAAAATATATTTTATAATTTTTTGAAATGACGCAAATTAAAAAAACTGTCAAAGGGTTAAGGAAAGTAGATTTCCACTGGGGCACTGAGTGATGTTTTAAAAGGGGGCGGTAGGCCAAATAAGTTTGGGAATCTCTACTCTAGATCATTTAGAATGCCACATATCATACAAAAAAAATCGGGGTCATTCACCACGAATTCGATCTTCTCCCTTCCTCCTTATTTCCTGTCACTCAGATACCTTCTGCCACTATCTTTTCCACTCCTCCATGAAGTGGCCTTACTCCTTACCAAGACTATGCAATCCTATTCTATCCTATCTTCTCCAACAGATTATCCCTACTCTTTCATTTAATTTTGATCTCTCCCTGTTTACTGGCTCATTCCCTACTTCCTATAAATATGCCCATGTCTCCCCCATTCTGAAAAAAAACCTTCACTTGATCCTTCCATCCCTGCTAACTATTGTCCTTTATCTCTTCTGCACTTCATAGCTAAACTCCGTGAAAAGGCCATCTATAACAGGTGCATCTACTTTCTCTCCTCTCACTTCTTTTACGATCTAGTTTAGGACCTTATCATTTCACCCAAACTGCTCTCTCCAAAGTTACTAATGCTCTTATTTGTCAAGTCTGATGCTTTTTTCTTAGTCCTCATTTCCCTTGACCTCTCTATAGCCTTTGACACTGTCAAAAACTCTCTCCTCCTTCATATTCTGTTCTCTCTAGGCTTTTGTGACACTACTTTCTCCTGGTTCTCCTTCTACTTATCTAACTGTTCCTTCTCTGTCTCTTTTTTGCTGGATCCTCTTCCAGTTTATTGAGTGATGATTCCAACCTTTAGAAGTTCACAAGTTGGTCAATCTGGTCAATGACCAAAGATAACACTATCCCCTCATTCCTTTCCCCCTCCCCACCCCATACCTCTCATCACAGAACACCATCTTCTCTGGAATCTTTCACTGCTGGATTCAGCCACCACTGCTGGAACTTGCAATTTCAAATGGGTTAGTTGTATTATTTATAGTCCCAGAGGTATACCTGATTTTTTTCCAATCATAATATATTTCCTGTATGGTAACATCTACACTCATCCAATACCCAAAGTCCCTATGATCTTTTCAAATTGATTAAGGAATTATTCATACCTAATTTACTTTAGATTGACTGATTCAAAAATAGATATATGGGCCTTTTGAGAGTAATTGAGGTGGGAATGCATCTGAACCCTTACATAGATTTAAATTTAATACAGTAGTTACAACACTAATCTGCATGCATATGTCCCCTACTAAACTTCCTTTTATTCTCTTTTGTATATTTTTTAAATGTTTCACTTTCTTCTTCCTTGTCTTCTTTATCTTCTTCTTTTTTGGTATCTATATCACTAACCCCCTAATACTCCCATAATTTACCCCCTTCACCTACACTAAAGTATCTCCTTTTTAATAAATAAACACCATCAAGCAAAACAAATTCACCCATTTGTTGTTTCTGAGAATGTATGGCTCCTTCAGCACTTCTAGCTCATCACCTGTCTTCCAAGAGGCAGAAAGCATGATTAATCATCAGTCTTAAGAAGTTGTCATTGCATTGATCATAGTTCTTAAGTCTTTCACAGCTGTTTTCCTTTACATTGTCATAATTATTATATAAATTGTTCTCTTGCTTTTGCTCACTTTATTTTTCATCAGTTCATACATTTTTTCTCAGGTTTCTCTGAATCTATACCTTTCATCATTTCTTGCACTGTTCCATTATATGCATAACATAATTTGTTCAGTACTTCTCCAATTTATGGTCCTTCACTTTGTCTCTAGTTCTTTTGTACTACAAAAAGTACTTCTATAAACATTTTTGTAAATATGGATCTTTTCCCTCTGGGCTCTGCCATCTGCCCTACCATCGTATCCTTACCACTTCTAGGCCTTTCCACATGCCCTGAAGTTGAACTTTATTTTATGTATTGTTTTCTACATTTAGAGTGTGATCTCCTTGAATGCAGTGACCATCTAGATTTTTTATTTGTATTTTCATCATTTAGCACAATGCTTCGCATATAGCAAGCACTTCATAAATTCTTTTTCAATCATTAATTAATTCATTGGTTTGATCTCCTTGGGGTATATGCCTAGTAGCAATCAATTCGCAAGCCCACCAGCAGCACACTGGTGTGTCTGTCCTCCCATACAGCCTCTCCAGCAATGGTCAATTTTTTTTTTTTTTTTGGTCTTCTTCCAATCTGATGTGTGTGAGGTAAAACCTCAGATGTGTTTTATTTCAATTTAATAAACATGTATTAAGTGTTTACTATATGCCAGGCATTGTGTTAAGCACTGAGGACACAAACAAGAAAAGAAAGTCTCTGCCCTGAAATAGGAAGCTTACAATCTAATGGGGGAAGACAACATAGAAAAGGAAGTTGGAAAAGGGAGGAGAGAGGGAATATCAGGGGGTTATCTGCAGTGAGGGCATCTTATTCCATGTGGTTGAAACCAGGCAGAGCTACAGATAGAAAGTGGCCTGAGCTGGAAATCTAATTTCTGATCTCTATACAGGAAAGCTTTGGGAGGAATTTAGCACTACATACTCTATCCCCACAATAAGAGGGGAGAGGAGGCTCAGGGAGGTGATAGCCAAGGCTTGAGATAGCAGCATGGTGATGAGAAGAGAAATGATCAGTTTATCCTGGCAGGGGCACTTTGTTCTGTGGAGTTGAAACTAGGGAGACATGTCACATATCCAAAAGTCATTTCTTAGTAAATGAATGGTCAAAGTATATGAACAAATAATTCTCAAAAGAACTGCAAAGTATTAATGACTATATGAAAGAATGCTCCAAATCCTAATAATAAAGGAAATACAAATCAAAACAACATTGAAGTTTTACCTCATACTATTCTGTCACTTTCTCTTCCTTTGTCTCTTTCACAGTGAAGAGATGGCTCTTCTCCTTGCCAAGGCAAAGCCCTCTATATAAACAAATAACCCTATTTCATCATATGTTCTCCAACAGTTTACCCCTCTATCATCTCCATTCTCTCACTTATCTTCAATCTCCTAGTTACTTCCCAACTGCCTACAAACATGCCATGACTCCCTCATCCTCAGAAAAATCAAAACCCTCATTTGGTTTCTCCATTCCTGCTAGCTATTATCCTATATCTCTTCTCCCTTATGTAGCTAAACTCCTTGAGAAGGCCATCTATAACAGATACCTCCATTCCCTCTCCCTTAATTCTCTTCTTAACTTTCTGCAATCTGTTTCTGACCTCATCATTAAACCCAAACTACACTCTCTGAAGTTACTTATGATCTCTTTATTGCCAAATCTAATGGTCTTTTTCTTGCTTCTCATCTTTTTTGACCTCTGCAGTCTCTGACATTGTCAAGCACCCTCTTCTTTTTGACATTTTCTTCTATCTGGGTTGCCTTTTTTTTTTTTATTAACAGTTCTCTCTTTGATTTCCTTCTGTCTGACCATTCCTTCTCAGTCCCCTTTGCTGGACCTTCATTCAGAGCATATTTGTTAACCGTGGGTGTCCCCTAAGACTCTGTCATGGATTATTTTCTCTTCTTCTATATTCTTTCACTGTATGATCCACTCAGCTCACATGGATTCAATTATCCATGGAGGCTATGCAGATGATTCTCAGGCTTGCTTGCCAAGCCCTAAGCTTTAGTCTTGCATTTCCAAATACCTACTGGACATCTTGATCTGGATATCTCATAGACTTCTTAACATTTCCAAAATGAATTATCTTTTCCCCAAAACATTTGTTTTCTGCTAAGTTCCCTATTACTGTGGAAGGACCACCATCTTCCCAGCCACGTAGACTCACAACCTAGGTTTCATCCTTGAATCTTCACTCTCCCACCCTCCATATCCAATCAGTTGCCAAGTCTTATTATTTTTATTAGTATTATTGTTATTTTATTTTCAAGCTTCTAAGACGGGTTTGCAAACAAGGGCATTTTGTTTTTGAAAAAGGGACAATGGGGCAATACTGCTGGCCTAGGTGCCCCCCAGTAGGCACCCACCCCCCCAACCCCTGTAAGAAGGGAGGGGGAACACACATGCTTCTACCACTGCCTTCAGCCACGAGGTACAAAGCTGAGCTAGGGCCACAAGCTCAGCGGTGGTGAGAGTTAGGCCCCAGGTCCACTCCGCTCTCCTCCCACCCCTACCCCACACTGGCTCTCCAGGCTTCTCTCTGGGAAATTGGCCAGGGTCCCAGGACATGTCCTGAGAGGGAAGAGGGGATGGGGTGGCTCAGGCACCTGGCTAACCCAGCCTGGGAATCAGCTCAGGAAGCTCAGCTGGGGTAGAGGAAAGAGGGACAGGCCTAACGACCAGGACTCTGGGAAGGCTAGCTGGCTAGTGGCGGGGAGGGTGGCACAGATTCATCTTCATAATATTTCTTATATATGCCCCCTCTGCTACTGCCACCACCCTGGTGAAAGCCCTTACCACTTCAAACCTGGACTATTTCCACAGCCTGCAGATTGGTTTCCCTACATCAAGTATCTCTCCACTCCAGTCCATCTTCCATTTAGCTGTCAAACTGATCTTCCTAAAGTACATATCTAACCATGCACCCTTCCCCCCAATTCAATAAACTCCAGTGTCTCCCTTTTGACTCTAGGTGCAAATATTAAAGCGTATGTTTGGCTAATAAAAATCTCCGTGACCTGGCCCCCTCCTCCCTTTCCAGTTTCTTATACCTTACTCCCCTTACATACTCTGCAATCCCGTGACACTGACCTCCCACTATCTCCTAACTCTAGGCATTGTCACTGGCTGACCCCCACGCCTGGCTTCCTTGGTTTCCTTGGAATTCCATCTAGAAGCCCACCTTCTGCTAGAAGCCTTTCCCAAGCTCCCTTGATCCTAGTGCCTTCCCTCTATTGATTTTTTTTTCAAATTTATCCTATATATGTCTTGTTTGTAAATGGTTCATTGCAAGTTGTCTCTCTCATTAGGTTATAAACTTCTTGAGAGCTGGGACTGTGTTTTGCCTTATTTTGTACACCCAGTGCTTAGTACAGTGCTTGGCACATAGTAGGCCTTTAATAAATGTTTGATGATTGACTGACCTTGCATACTGGCAAAGATGACAAAGGATGGGAATAGTCAGTATTGGAGAGGTCGTGGCAAGATAGGCAAACTACTGCATTGTTGGTAGAGCTGTGAATCATTACAATCATTTTGGTAAGCACTTTAGAGTGATGCACATAAGATGACTAAAAAGTCCATACCTTTCAACCTAGAGATTCCACTACAAGGCTTATAACCTAAAAAGACTTGATTAGAAGAAACTCTCCATATACACCAAAATATTTATAGAAGTACTTTTTTGTTATAGCAAAGAATTGGAAACAAAGTAGATGTCCATCTATTGGGGAATGGCAGAACAAACTGTTGTACATCAATGTAATGGAATATTACTGTGCTGTAAGAAATGATGAATATGATGAATACAGAGAAACATGGAAAGATTTACATGAACTGATACAAAGTAAAGTAAGCAGAGCCAGGAAAACATTATACACAATGACTATAACAATGTAAACAGAAATAACAACTACAGAACAATCAACAGTAAATGTAAATTTACAAAGAATAAGCACGGCTCCAAAGAAGAGACATTTGTTATCCCTTTGCAGAAGTGGGAGGTTCATAGGTGTCATACATTGCACACATTTTCACACTTTTTTGGTGCACTGATTAGTTTTGCTGATTTTTTTTCTTTAAAAATATTACATAGTGTATGGGATGAGTCTCTGGGAGAATGAGAAAAGGGTACTAGGGAAATTTTGATTATGTAAAAATTGAAAGTTATCAATAAAATTTATCTAAAAGAAGAAAAGGAAGTACATTTGAATCATGGATTTAGAGCTAGAAGCGACCATGTAGTACAATGTTCTAATTCTACAGATGAGGAAATTTGAGATCCAGAGAGGTTAAGTGACTTGCCCAGGGTCTCACCTCTGGTACTTTACTAGCTACACAAGCATCAATACGATGATGTTAGAATGAGTGACCTTAAAGTTTCCCTTCTAGCTCTCAACCTAGGACCCTGTGATATACTCTATGTTCATTATCTGACTAGATCCTTACAGCAACATTGTGAAGGAGTCAGGACTAGCATTATTATTATTATTCTGTTCAAACTCTTCTGTCCTAAAAATCCTTCCTGGAGGCAATATTATATGGTGCAAAGATCATGGGACTGAGAAGGCAGAAAACTCTCGTAATCAAGCTCAGGCTTGGCCACTTACTATTCGGCCTGGAGCAGGTCACTACCTCTCTCTGGTGCTTAGATTCCTCCTGTGAAATGGAACAATAATGTAAAATGGAACAACGAAATGAGGCAACTAGGTACTACTGTGAATAGAGTGCCGGGTCTGGAGTCAGGAAGATCTGAGTTCAAATTTAGCCTAAGACCTATGTGACTGTGGGCAAGTCACTTAACCTCAGTTTTCTCATCTGCAAAATGGGGAGAATAATAGCACCTACCTCCCAGACTTGTCGTAAGCATCAAATATAAGTTGACGTGGAATAGGGAACAGAGACCTTTCTGAGTAATCTAAGAAGGAATTGATGCCATAGTTATGAGGTTCTCTTAGGGCAGAAAGGTGGGACTATAGGACCTAGGTGGAAAGTATCAGGCAATTTAAATAAGCCAATCACTCAGTGCTGTGGATGCTGGGAAGAACTATAGCACTAGCAGCTGAAGCTCCACTATAATAGTTCCAGCTGCTCAAAGGCTGGAGAGACAAATAACTATCTGCAAGAGGAGAACCAGACCGTAGAGCTCAATCAGGAAGGCAGAGGACAGCTAACAGTAGCGCTCGTGACGCCCGTTGGGAAAGGCAGCTAAGCAGAGTGCCAGCAGAAGAAGCGCTGCCAGTGAAAGAGCACCGATGTTCCGAGAACAAGTGTGGAAGGACAAGCCCTTCTGTTCTCTTGCTGGGGCCCCACCCACTCGTGTAAGTCAGAGTTTTCTGTGGATGATTGTGTAGGGAGGTGAGCTTCCGGTTATCCTTGCATTAGTGTACATGTCCTTTTTGTGTCTCTTCCTATGCAAATAACCATGGTCTATTCTGAATCCTTGGGAGCCCGATGGCTATAAAGCAGAAGTGGTGGTAGCGTGAGGCAAATCCAGATAATGAAGTTCCCAGTTTCCACCTGAGGTGGGGCAAAAAGTCAGAGCTCCCCGAAGGTTAAAGGAAGAAGTGGTATTTTATGATTCAGAAAACTATACCAGCAGGAGCAACAGCACTTTCCTTATGATGACCTACAAGGTAGGTGATCTCCAAGTATTAGAATTCTTATTTTGCAGATAAGGAAACTGAGGCTGCAGAGTGGCTAATTGGTTCACTCAAGTAAGCAGTTTAATAATTGGCCGTTGAAAGGTTGAATAAATGCTAACTAGTGGATCTCTTTAGGGGAGGTCTGCCTTCACCAATAGATAAGAATGGCTTGAACTCTCAAAATAAGCAGTCTGTCATAGCGGATAAGCTCTAGATTTGGAGTCGGAAAAGATTTGGATTTGGATACTACCTTTGACCTTGAGCAACTCACTGAACCTCTCAGAGCCTGTTTCTTCATCTGTAAAATGGAAATAACAATACCTGTAGTACCAACTTCACAGGACTGTTGTGAAGGAACAATGTATTATAATTGCAAGCATTAAAGCAATATATAAATGTCAGTTGTTATTAAATCAACATGTTAATTGCTCAACTGATTGACTGAAAACAATTACTTACATAACATATGCTCTTTCATCTTTTCTCATTATTCACTTGCTTTGCCATTTTTTCATCATGCTACCTTGTATCTGTGTAGTACTTTATACTTCTCAAACCACTTTCAAATCTATTTTTTACACAGTGGGGTTCCTGCTAAGTGTGGGTCATGACTCTTTGGGGTGTAATGTATAACTTCTAAAGTCTCTTTCTCGTGTAAGATTCTATGACTCTAAAAATTATCTCATAAAAACCCTGTGAAATGAGCATCCATTAGCTGCATCTTACAGATGAGAAACTGATACTTAACAGTAGTTAAGTGATTCGCCCAAGTTAACACCACTAGTGTGGAGCCAGGACTGGACTCCAGGCCTCCTGACTGCCAATTCAGTCACCTAACTCATAGGGCTGTTCTGAAAAAGTCACTCGGTAAACTACTACTAGTCCTCAGGATCTTTTCATTACACCTAAGGTTGACTAGGCATAGGTAGAGGGGTTAGATAGTTTTGTCAATTTAGTTTATCCTCGGTTCTAAGGAGGTGCTTAAGAAACAGGAAATGGTCCTTTTAATAGACTCATAGATTATTAGAGCTCAGAGAAATTTTAAGAGATCATCTAGCCCAAACCCTTGATTTTGCAAATGAGGAAAGGGACCTGCCCAATACCACCAAACTAGTTAGCAGCCAATCTGGGACTCAAATCCAGGTCTCCTAACTGTTGGTACTTTTGCATGTGGCTTCCTTTTTGGCCCTGTCTTTCTTGCCTTTGGGACATGAAGCCTGAGCCTCCAAATTTACAAGCTGCCAACAGCTGGTGATATGCTGGTGCTGTATTCCAGTTCATGTATAAATAGCATGCAGCTAGGAAAGTAATACGGAAGATGGCTTAATGTCAGCCTAAGGCCTATAAAGCTTAGGAAGAAAGAAGGCAGATAAGACAATAGCTCTTATGGAGGGTAATCCTGTTCTTTCTGGGAGGGCATGTGAGAGGAAAGTGCCTTTATCACTGTCTTCCATCATTCTGTTTACACTCACTGGTATGCAGAACTCGGTGAAGGCTTCCATGTGAAACACAGGAGGAGATGGGGTAGTTTCTCACATCATTTCCTTTATCACTTATGTCTTTCTTCCCAGTCTCCTTCAAGGTGGTGGTTGCTACAATGAAGAATCTCACTTAGCATCACAAACCATTCATTTTTAGAATAGGTTCAAATCAATTTTATCAATTTTAGATAGGTTCAAAATATAGCTCCTAGTAAATGTAGCAAATGGAACCCCCAGAAAAGCTTCTTTACCTTTAAGGTTTTCTGTGAATCCACATTTTCTCAAAAAACATAGCTTACAAGCCTCTCTGGATAAGTATAATCTTACTAGTTAGAGGATTAATTCAAAGTAAAAACATTTAATGAAATAGCAAGAATAGAACACTTCCCCCATAAAATCTGGAGCACTTTCTCCCACAAATATATACGCCATCAAAGGAAATGTAACACACTCTTCCTCAATTGGAAAGTAGAACGTATGTGACCAGGTTCACACATGTAGAGAACAAGTGTAGCTAGGTACATGTGTGAAGGGTTATGTATATCGTGAACACATGTTGCCAACTAGGTAACTCATGCCTCCAATGCTACAGGGATCCCAGGTCTTTGGGGTCTACTCCTGGCTCGTAGTGCGGCACTGCAGTCTCTGACAGGTGTCCATCCAGGTATTGCTTCTTGCCTGTGCTCTATAGTACTTTGCTGGTCCTGTATGGCTTTAGTTGTTCCAGCATTAACATGTCCGGTATTCAAACAGTGAAAATCTTAAGCTGTTTTTCTCAGCACAAGCTGAGTCTATCAATTCTAAAAGCTTTGAGTGTGATGACCATTTTTTCTCTCTAGTTTTCCAGGTGCTAAGCTCTTTCATAACATAGAACAGCCATCCATCTGAGTGCCTTCAGGCATAGTCTGTCTTCAGTCTTCCTTTCTTGAAGAGGGTACAGGGGTAGAGGTTGGGAGGGGTAGTTCTTTCAGGGTTCAGCAAATTTTTGTTGTATTTAAATTTTGTTGTATTTAAAAATGTAAAAATCATTTTTGTTTGCCTATAAAAACAGGCCTTAGATAGTTTGCTCACCCCTGCTCTGTTTGATTTAGGGTTAGAGAAAGTCCTTGTAACTCCAGCTTAACTTCTTATTGGCAATCTGCACCCCTTTGGAATCATTTCAGGGGTCTACCCTTTCTACTGGCAAAAAGATCTGAGCCACTCTACTAGAGAGGTCTGTTCTTCGTAATATTGTGAAAGGAGTCTTGGATTTGAAAATACCTGGTTTTGAAATGTAGTTTTTCTATTTACTACCTATGTAACCAAACACATTCAAATTATCGGTAAAACACTTTGGATTTTGGATGCCACTTTTTCTTAGAACATACAATGAGAGAAAGGCAGAAGTGCTTCTAAAGAATACTGAAAGACAGACCTACTTACTGTTCTCTCCATATTTCATCCAAACTTCTGCTGGACAGAGGTAGCAATTTCTCTTCCTCCTCTTCCAAACATGGAGACAACTTCTTATACTGGAAAGAGAACTGAGCACTGGACTTAGATTCAGGGGACCTGGTGGATTCACACACTAGTTCATCATTATTGTTCATATGACCTTAGGTAGGTTGTTTAGTTTTTCTGAGTCTGTTCTCTTTCTTCTCTGTAAAATGGAAGAGTTGGACTGACTCACTGCTAAGGTCATTCTGACTCTAAAGGTGTATGTTTCTGATAAATAATTGCAATTGTATATTGCATTATAGTTCTAAAACTATGTAATACATTAGACATCTCATTTGATTTTCAGGAACATTCCTACCAGATGGTGAGTTCAGGAAACTTGAGGTTTGGGTCTTGTCCAAGATTAATTGGTAGGAGAACCTAATTCTCTCTCTCCTCTGTATCTAAATATATCCTTTATATCTACATCTATATCTTCTTTATAGCTATACTCACTCACTTTATCTGCCTGTTTCCAGCATTCTTTCTTTTTCCCCAAGCTGTCTTTTCCTTTTGATGTTTCTTTGAATTCCCAGTGTTTAGCACAGTGCCTTTCACATAGTAGGTGTAAATGCTTATTGACTTATCTGATCTTCATGGTAAACTTTTCGTTGTTTTTGGTTGGGCTTCTTTTAAGAGTGAAATTGCTTTGAAGCTCTGTGCCTAGAAGTACAGAGACAGTCAAAATAATACGTGGACTTTTAAAAAAATCAAGTCATTAAACTTCTGTCTCTAAACAAAGCTCGAGAAGGAAGAGGCCATCTTCATTAATGGCTGGTTGGTCCTTCACCAAGATACATTTTTATTAACTTGATCATCTGCCAAACGTTATCTCTTCTGGGGGAACTCTGTGCTTTATATATCAAAAGTATGCATTGGGGCCCTTGGCCAGTTGGGAGTGATGAGTGAAGTTGGTAATAGGACAAGGCTGCTGAGAAACCTCAAAGCGCTATAGAAATGCTCTTACTATTGTGGATTTGCGGATGGCCAAAGGAATGGTGGAGGAGAGAAAAAGGGGGGGGAGGGAGAGAGAGTGTGAGTGTTGGGGGGGGAGAGAGAGAGGGGGGAGAGAGAGGGAGGGAGGAAGGGAGGGAGAGGAGAGAGGGAGAGAGGGAGAGAGGGGAGAGGGAGAGGGGAGAGGAGGGGGAGGGGGAGGGGGAGGGGGAGGGGGGAGAGAGTGTGTGAGTGCGCGCGTGCGCGCCTCGCGCAGGCGCACAAATTCGAGGGGTGGGGCGGGGATCAGGTGGTCCGCAGCGATGCGTCCCGCAGAGCTAGACTCAGGGTGCCCAGGGGCCCGAAGGGCACGGCGACTGGGAGAGGATTCTGAGGGTTCTCGAGCACCCAATCCACGCAACTAGGGCTTCTGCCACTGCCCCAGGCCCTTCTACGGCTCTTTATACCCTTGGAGGGGCCGTCCCGCCTTCTCCCTCACCGTCAGAAGAGCCCAGGCCTGGGACGGACTCGAGCACCAACCCCACAGCGTCATCGCCTTCCAGAGCTCTAGAGAACCTGGCACTACCTACCCCGTCCTCCACGCCCCATCCCGGTGTCAATCATCGGCTACTTGAACCCCAATTGGTTCTGAAGGAGCCATGGTACCCCCCCCCTTGTCCCCGCCCCTTGATGTTCAGGGTTTCCTACGCCGAAATACACGGGTCCCACATTTCGGAGCAACCGCTCCTGCACGGAAAACACTCTCCGCCCCAGGGAGACGTTTCACCTAACAAGGGAAGGTTTATGAACCTATTGGCTAAGAAGACTGTCGATGAGTCTCATCCCACCTTCGTTTCCACTCTGTGCCTCAGCTACTGGTTATTATTAGTGTCAATCCGTTACTGGGGAAACCACCTCCTCCTAGTGTCACAGGTTACTCCTCACGTCAATCAATAGCTGTACCGCCTTCCTCGAGCTACGTCCAATTGACACTCGTAGGTAATTGAGGGCGAGCTTCCGATTGGCTATTGCTTCGAACGACCCGGCAGCAACAGGGTAGGCTGAGCCCTGGTATATGTACCGGCGGCTGAGCACGCGTGTGTGCGGACGCCGTTGCGTGAGAGAGTTTTGCTACCCGGCCTGCTTCGGAGTGAAGACTCTTCCTCTCCCGCTCAGCCTTGCAGGTAGGTGGGGGAAGGCTGTTGAGGACAGAGGAGGGGATGAGCGAGACGATTTTCACTTGGAGCCTTGCTGCTGCCCACAAAAAGAAAAAAAAAAGGAAAAGGAGAAAAATAGCGCTGCGAGGGAGCAGCGCCGCGAGCGCCGCCGCGAGGCGCTTCCTCCTCTCCCAGCGTCCCTCCTCCTCTTCCTCCACTTCATTCCAACGGCCACGAGCGCGCGACCCTCCTCCCTCCCCCGCCCGCCCCGCTGTTCGCAGCGCCCGGAGCCCAGTGCGCGTCGCTTCTCTGCTCGCGCTCGGAGCCCCCATCACTTCTCCGCGGGACCCGTGCGGCCTTTTCCGGCACCTGCACCACGGGCTTGCCCCTTGGCCTTGGCTTTCCTGGGCCCCAGGGAGAGCAGGGGAGGGAGCGAATACGTGTGAGAGTGTGGGAAGGGCTGGAATGCCGGGATTTCCCGACCTTGGGCGGGAAAGCGGGGAGCTTCCTCCTAGAGGGTCCGTTGTCGGTTGCCCCGCGGTCCCTTCCCCGGGGCCTCCGCGGGGAGCGTGGCTCTAAGATGGGTGCTGAGCAGCGCCGCTTCCGGAGGGGTGGCAGCGGCCCCTTCCCCGCCGGGCCGGCGGCGCCGCGGGAGTTACTTCCTCTCCTCACGTGTGCCGAAGGAAAAAGCGCCGGCCGGAGCTGGAGGCCTCCGGCCCGCGCCTCCTGCGGCAGAGGCCGCCGAGAAGAGGCCTCCGGCCGCTGGAGCTGCGAGCTGCAACCGGTGCCATCGGGAGCGGGCTCGGCGGGGACCCGGGCGAAGAGCTCATTGTAGCGGAGGGAATTCGGGACGGAGCGCAGCTCCGTTAGTTTTCAGATGCAGAGTCGGCGTGGTGGGGAGGAAAGAGCCCTGGATCCGGCGGAGCCTTTGTATTTAGAACTGTTGGAGACTTGAGGGATTTCTCCAAAAAATCTTCATTTTACTCCGTAGCCCTCGATTTCCAAAGTTACAGTGACGTTGGGGGAAGAGGGGCAAACACCGGCTTCTGCTACTTACCACCCACATAAACGTGGGCAGGCCAAGCAACCTCGCTGGGTCTCAAATTTCCTCATCTGTAAAATGAGGGGGTTGAATGAACTAGATGAGATACAAGGTGTTTTCTGGGGAGGAAGAGCTGTTCAGCTGGAGGAAAGTGGGAAGGGAAATGTGTTAGGGAGAATTTCAGAAAATAAAACCTAGAACTTTCGAATATATAGCTCTTAGCAACTTGAAAATTAACCTTATCTTAATTTATGTCCAGCTAAATATGTTATGGAGATAACTTTGTAAAATCGGTACTGGTGTACAAATAAAAAACAATTCTTGAATGCAAAACCTGATTGTTGGATTAGAAATTCTTTTGTGTGTTTTTCTTTCAGAATCCATGAATAATCTGGTTAAGGGGAAAGCTTTTTTTTTATACAAAGACCATTTCAGCTAGCATCTTAAGAGTTTGTGTGGAAGCCAGCACCTACTGAAATTAATATTCTATTGGATATTCTTCTTAAAACTTGTCTTGAAAATAACCCTGTAATGTAGCTAGCACAAATATTCTGTGTCTTGTTTGGAAAGAACTGTTAAAGTATACATTTCGCAGTACATTTTTGGCCGAAAATGTAAAACTTCAGATTTTTTCAAAACAAATCGAAAGTATAATACATGTGAATAAAACTAACATGTTCACTAGAAAAAATATTTGTACATAGCTACTCAAGTTCATTCTTTCCTTATTTTTGACTTTGTAGAGCAGGTATTCTTAAACCTGAGGTGGGGTAATTTGGTTATGATGGCTTTAATAACTATTTCAGTACAGTTGTTTCCTTTGTAATCCCTGTATTTTATGCATTTAAAAACATTCTGAGAAAAGCCCATGGACTTCCCCAGACTGCCAAAGGGAATTCGAGACACAATTTAATAAACTCTGGTTTAGAGGGATTGGCTTTTAGGAAGTAAAGATAGTACTGTCAGGTTTATACTGAAGTTCATATTATGCTAAACACATTGATTTAGCACAAAGATGCTCAGTTTGCTCAGCATATCTGAATTAATTTCAAATTGCTACATTAGAAAAAAGGTGCTTTAGGTTAACAAATGACTTAGTTTCAGGTCTGAGTTAATTAACATAAGTTGTAGCATCCCTTTTTTTATTTATACCTATCTCTATTATGTATGTCCAATTGTCAACTCCTTTTTCCCACCCCTTACGATATAAACTATTTGAGGGCAGGGATTATATCTACATCCCTAGTACATAATTCAGTACATTGCACTGGGTACTTAGAACATATTGGAATATTAATAGAAGTAAACTTAGCAGCCTGGAGATATTTGTACATATTCCTGTTATTGGCCCAGGAAAATGGCTTATCTGCTGGATAACTGAACCTTTATTTTACAGTCTTCAAGTAATAACTTGTCAGTAGTCAAATTTTCTTAAACATGTAGTAATAGGAAGTCTTTGGATTAAACGTTGTTTAGTGCACATTCGACAAATTATGTTTACCTGGGAGAAAGCCCAACATAATGTAGATTTGGTATGCAGAGTCTTGGAGAATTATTATCTTTTCTGTGATACATGAATTGTGACTTTCAACATTTTAAGGATTTCTCTCAATTTAAGAAAAAGCATCAACTTTGCAGCCAAGAGATACTCTATTTTCTGCATAAGCAACAGGTTTAAGAAAAAGGGAGGGAGGGTTAAGTTTTACAGAAAGACTGTATAAAACTTCTTGGGAGTTTGATTTAATAGGTCAAAACTAGTGATTGTTCTACGTTGAATTCATACTCTGTTGGGCTGGCAGCTCTCTTAGGGAGCTCTAGGAAGATTTGATAACGTTCTGTTTATGACCTCCTTTTGGCCAACTTCTTTAACAGTGTAAGGGTGTTTTCCTTTATTAACCACTGCTTCAAATCAATGGACTTAAAGGATTTGCCAATCTTAGATTGGTTTTTGAGCGTGAAGAAAAGTGAAGCTAAGGTGGTTGGATTTTAATCTAAAACTCAAGGTTTGTGATAAAAACCCCAAGGTTTCTCTTTTGTTTATTGAAAGTGCATCGTCTTCCCATATGAGTTTACTGTTAATTAGACGTAACATTTATTTGGTTGCTACATTTTTTTTTCCCCAGTCTCATTTTGGTGAATTCATTTTCTTGATATTGGAATGCTTTCAGGGCTTCATTGAAAACAGAAGCCTTGACTTTATCTAAAATTTTGTTTTGCAGTCTTGCTGGTAGTTAGGAAAGTATGAAGCTATCTAATTTTATCTTACCATTCAACCATGAACTAGTGAGAAAAATCTGTGGATTGAGTCCTTCCCAGAAGTTACTAAATTTTGATTTTTTTTTCTAGCCATAAAAATTGCAGTAACACCATATTCAGTGTTTCTGTTGAAGTGTATTTTTTTTTAAAGTAACTTATGCTTACTCATGGTATTCCACCTATCATTGGGATGTATAGTAATGGTTCATCTATACAACAGAGCCATAGCAGTTGTGATGTGACCGTGTGATAGAGCCAATGTCACAGGTGGCAATTGAACCTGGGACAGCTGAAGCTTTCTGATTCTAAGTTCAATACTTATTCATTACACCATGCTGCCTTTCCATATGCATGTATGCAGAGTGAAATTTGATAGTGATAATAATTTGCCATGGATATTACATGAAGAACAAAAAAGTTTTAAAATTGTAGTTTTATCATTTCTGAAGACTCATTAAAACTCTTCAGAGGTGAAAGAGACACACTCCTTGCTTTACAGATGAGAGAAAAAGAGGCCCTGAGAGAGTAACCTTGAGTAGTTTGCTAGGTCAATCAGATATCCAGTAACCCCACTGTTTCTCTGTTGCTCTAGCTTAGTATTTCTGCCATGCCACATTGCTTCTTCCTTTATACCTGTTGAATTAGCTTAGAGTACCAGAAAAAGCAAGACATTAAAAAGTAGATCCTAATGATGTTGCAAGGGAGAAAATCTGGCATCTTGGGATACTTTTTTAGTCATATTCTGTTTTGCATTCTAAATCAACTTACTTGAAAATGTGAAAACTTTGTGGTGCAGTTCTTACAAGGTACAAAGAGCTTTAATATTAATTTGAGCTTTATAACTAAGGTAGGCAGCAGAGTCAGTGTAATTAATTTCATTTTCCAGAGAAAGATGATTACTGGGGTTATGATCAATGTTTCTTGAATCCTTTGCTAGTGATTACCAGCATTTTGTAATTTTTAAAAATTGCTGCGCCAGATTCTTTAAAAGATGTTTAAACACAAACCCAAGGTTTTCTTAACTGAAGTTTCATTCTGATCATGAAGAACTTCAGATATTGAGGCTGGAAATCAGCATGCTTCAATTTTTATATGAATTTCTGTTTCCTGAGGCAAATTCATTTTGTTTTTTGCTTTTTTTTTTTGCTTTTTTTTTTGTGGTGAGGCAATTAGGGTTATGTGACTTGCCCAGGGTCACACAGCTACTAAGTGTCAAGTATCCGAGGCCAGATTTGAACTCAGGTCCTCCTGACTCCAAGGCGGTAGCTCTATGCACTGCACTGCCTAGCCCTCAGGTAAATTCATAAATAAACTAGGGAAATCAAAACAGTTTTAGACTTTTTCAGCCACAAACCAGTTTTCATCTAGAGTATGAAAAGTGGAAAGCTGGTCTTAAAGATTCTGTTTGATGTGCATGCCCATAAAGGATGAGGAGAGGCAAAGCTGCTTTTTTAAAAAAAATTTTAAAGAAATAGCTGACAATAATTTGATAGGTCTGTGGTTCCCAAGCACAGTTGGGAATTGATGCAGTTATAGTATTCCCACTTTCAAGCCCTTTCTGTCAGGAAAAAAGGAGATGGAAATGGCAAGTGTGTAGGTATAAAGAGAGCATTTAAAAGTGGGTTAAAATGAAGCAGATCTGCTCAAATGCAGTGTCAGTAATGCTAATTACTGTGTTTGATGCTGTGTTGTGGTTTGAATCATTTGAGTCGTCAAGTTGTCTCTCTGC